CTTGGTTGTCTGTCTCTAAGTGTAGCCCTGTGATAGACTGGTTACCTGTCCAGGTGAACCTGCCTTCACCCTGATTCAGCTGGGATTTGATGATCAGAGATTGGCTCGGGACATCCCGAGTGTTTATAAATCCTTTCTATCTGCTTCTGTATCTAACTACATTTTGGTTTATCCCGTCTGCATAGAGCTCACTCCCTTCTTCAGCCAAGAATTGCAGGGTGTAGAGGCTGAGGTCGGAGGTTCAGCCTCTCTGTGCTGCGAGGTTTCTAAACTGGGAGTTTCAGTGCAGTGGAAGAAGAACAAGCTGCCACTAAGGGCCGGCAGGAAGTACGAGATGAAGCAGGACGGGTGCCTCCTCCAGCTCCACATCAAAGATCTCAAACCTGAAGACATCGGCAGCTACTCGTGTCACGTAGGAACTGCAGAAACCGCTGCAACCGTTCAAGTAAAAGGTGCGTGCGTCTTGATTCCTGATTGCCAGGCTTACAGGAACAGGACGACTTTACTCATGTTGGTTCTTTTCATTCTTCCTGTGCAGCACCAGCACCAACTCCACCGAAGGAAGAACCTCCAACCGTTCAGCCACGGGTGAAAAGCCCTGTCTCCAAACCAGCTGCAGAGAACGAGACTCCCGGAGTCCCAGAGGCCAAACCTGTTCCCCCAGAGCCCAAAAAGAGGATTCACAGGAAAGCATCTATTACAAGTTCAGAAAAAGACGTGGAGTCAGTTTCTGACTTGAAGCCGTCTTTGCAGAAGGAGGTCAATGAAGTCCAAAAGGTCATCCAGCCTGCAAGATCTGTGGAGAAAGACTCTGGTGTGGCTCAGAATGTAACACAAGTGGAGAAGAATAAAGAGAAGGATGGTGACGTGAACAAGAAAGCTGATAAACCGGTGAGACTACCAGAGAAGGATCGTAGGGTTGACAGGAAGGTCGAAGAACCAGCGAGGAGTTTGGAAACGGAAAATGAAGCTTTCCTTGAGACGAGACAACCGGGAAGAAATCTGGAGGAAACAGTTAAAGTTGACCATAAAGTAAGTCAGGCTGATGCTGTGGTTGAACTCAAGCAGAAGGAAAAGGAGCATGAAGCCGTGCAAAACTTAAAGGCTTTAGAGAAAACGGGTGAAGCTGAGAAGAAGGTGAAACGTCCAGGAACGGTGCAAAGAACGAACAGCCAGGATGAAAAACGTCCTGTTAAAGCACCAGAAAAGCTGATTAGAGTAGAAACGACGAAGGAACAAGATGTGAAATCTACTGAGAATGAAAGTGAAGCAGACAAGACAGACGAGGAGCCTTTAAAACCACCAACTAGATCGAAGGCAAAGGGAGCAGACGTAAAGCAACCAGTCAAGTCTACCTTAAAAGAAAGTGAGGAGATCATTCCAGAGGTGGTAAAAGCAGCACTGAGTGATTCGGAAGAAAACCAAGTGTCTAAACAAATACCCACAGAGACAGAAAGAGAGAAAAAGCCTCTGAAACTGATGCCTTCTGGAAATCAACTGGACAAACAGCCAGAAAAGCATCTCGAAAAAGAGGCTGAATTCGTCCCTCCAAAGCCACCTGCGAGGACAAAAGGCAAAGCAAAAGGAGGATTTGAAAGACAAGCATCAAGGGACACAGAAACAGATCAGGATGAACAACAGCCGACAAGACGTCCAGTGAAAACATCTGAGGAGCAGCCAGTAAAACCGGTAACACAGCCGACGAGAAAGGAGGCTGAAGAGAAACCGAGATCAGAGAGGAGGCAGTCGGTAGCTACAGATAGTGAGACCGTTCAGAACATAGAGCCGCCTGCCACATCTGCAGAGAAAGAAGCCAAACTGCCCGTAAAACAGCCGGTTAAACCCATGAGAAAAGAGCCGGACATGGATTCGGAGATGAAACTGGCAGTCGAGCCGATGAGACGGGAGGAAGAGCAGCGAGCAGCGAAGGTGGCTGTAGACATTCCTCTCCTCTACATCTCCGAGGATGAAACTTTCTCAGAGGCTTTGACTGAAATACCAACGAACCACATCCAACCCACTGATTCTTCTGTTCCTGCAAAAGATCTGCCGCTGGAGACGACACCGCCGTCCAAAGACTCCCCACCAGAGACCGACATCAACTTCGAGGACGAACCGCAACTGCAAGAGGCTGCGGTCAAGATCCAGGCTGCGTTCAAGGGCTACAAAACCCGCAAAGACATGCGGCCAGTCTTCAAGGAGGTGTTTAAGAACCAGAGCGCAGATCTTCATGGTACACTCACTCTCAGGTGCACTGTGGAGGGAAAACCCAGCTCGGTTTGCTGGCTGAAGAACGGACAACTGATCGCTAGTGACCAGAGGTGTCGCACTCAGACCACGGAGGACGGAGAGTGCACGCTGGTGATCAAAAACCTGGTCAGCACCGACAGTGGGGTTTACACGTGCGAGGTTGTGAATAAGTTCGGTGTGACGTCCTACAACGGAAACGTAACAGTCGCACCGACTCCTCAACCGGCTGCGACACCACAGAGGCCGGTGCATCCACCGCTTGCGGCTATAACTCCTTTGCAGCTCGCGCCGACGAAACCTGAAGCCAAAACAGAAAATCAGAGTCAAGAAACGGCTGCAAACTACGTGGAAAACGTGAGTGTCTCTCTGTGGGAGGCCTACAACCTGACGGAGCAGGACACCCAGATGAGCCTGCAGGAGAGAAGGCGGTTGTCGCTCGTAGCTGCCAGCTCCAGTGAGTAACACATTTACACCTCAGCTGTAAAAAACAACCAACTGCAAAGATGTTTATTTGCATTTTTAAACTCCTTCAACAGTGTCGAGTCCCTCTGATTATGACACGGCTCCGGATATAATGGAAGCTGTTGAGGCCAGCCCAGTCCTACCGAGGTAGTGCAGAACAGAGAACATATTTGCTTTATTCTCTTGTGATTGTAAAGATACCAAAATATTCCTTAATATCGTCACAGGGAAGCACCAAAACCTGCAGAACAAGCAGCTCCAAAGGACGATAAAGAAGATGTTGCTGCTCCTCAACCTCCGAAGAAGCTGTTGAAGGTCAAAGGTCAGCTGTGCTCCCTTCTACGTTATTTCATTTATGTTTTTTAAGTATTTAGGTAAGTTCTTTACTGTTTTCTAAAGCTGTTTTGTGTTCTAATTTAAGGGGCTCATGATATTAAAATGAGGACACCGTCTCCAAAGCACCATCGCGCCCACACGCCTTTAACGAGCACCGTTTCTGGTTCAGAGTCGGAGGGAGAGGAAGACAGACGAGAGGTATCGTTTATGCACATGCTCTGTGTTGATGGAGGAAAAGTTCCCACTTGACCTCTTCAGAATCAGTGGATTTTTCATCTACAATAACTAACGTATATTTACTGAAGCCATGTAAAGTTGTACCTTCTTAGTATGAATATTTTCAGAGCTGCTGGCTCATGATGTCATGACTTTTTAATTTGAGTTTCTTTTTCTATCATTTTGAGCCATCAAATCATATCTAGCAGATGATCCTTCAGTTATGAGGCTCAGAAAATAACAAATTTCAACCCACCTCGGTGTAATTCAAAGGCCTGTAACTCTAAAAAATATTCATAGTATGATGGTAAAAGTTTGCACGTGTTCATTAAATATATTGAAGTTATTCTGCATGATTCATCAGCTGATCCTGAGGAGGTCAGGTGAGACCCACTGACTGATGTTTCATTATTTCATGCAGCTGTGTTTGTAGGCTTTATGTGATCTATAAAAATCACTGTAATAGATTCTGTATGATTAAATCACAACCCAACAATCAAATTTTTCACTTTCTGCTGTATAAGCCATTAATTCTGTGCTACTTTTCCTCCCCCAGACGTTTGAAATGTTCGTGGCTCGAGCTGACTGCAGCCCAAACAGCGGCAATAAGGACAGCTTTGTTCTGAAGGAGGGACAGTTCGTAGAGGTTCTGGACTCGGTTCATCCTGACAGGTGGCTGGTGAGGACCAAACCCACCAAAACCAACCCGGCTCGACAGGGATGGCTCTGTCCTGCCTACCTGGAGAAGAAGAGAAAGGTATGATGTAGGAATCCACACGGCAGCTCTGAGTAAACATGTTACACACTGAAACATTAGTCAGATATTATAAGTTATTGTCATGCTGTAAATCTATTTAAGGTTATGCAGCTTAGGAACATAGGTCCTCCTGCTGCCCTTAAAATGTGAGTTAACTTAAATTATTATTTAGTTTGAAGTATTTTAATGTGTAAAACTAGCTGGACTTGAGAAAACGAAAAGTTCAATAAACTCAACATTTTAAGTTGAATTAACTTGTCACATAAACAGTCAGACTTGCTTTTAATGTACGCTATAAAAATTTCACATTGACAACATTAAATATCAGCTGTTGAGGGCTTCTTCATACGAGTGTAAAGACCAAATTTAACCTTTGTTGTGGTTAGATTTGTTTTAATTAGAAAAAACAACCAGAACTTAACTTAACAAAGACAGACAGCAAGTTTCTGTTTTCTCAAAGTGCAAGAAGCGAGAGTCTGTGGGGAGTTTTACCTCTATAACAATGAACCCTGGGAGGTTTTGTTTCTCATAAACTTAATTAATTTAGTTAAGTGAACCCTCTGCTGTTCATTCAGCTCATCATTTTAAAATGACTCAAGATGTAAGTTCTCAAAACAAAAATGTAAAGAATTTTGAGTTAAATTAAACAAGAAACTCATATGTTTACATTCAGTAAACCAGAAAAGATTATTTGATTGACTAAATTCCTTCATGATATCTTGCTAACTTGCGTTAATTGTGTTCTGGAGTCAACAGAGACATCAAAGGAAAAGAAAAATGAATGTAAGATTTTTTTATTTTCAACAGGAAACCTTCCCACAGTTGAGAGCACCTCAAGAGGACATTGATGGAATCGGATCTACAGGAGAAGAGTACAGGAGAGCTCTGAGGTCTGTCCTTAAGTAGCTAATAACTAAAACCTTCAATAAATGGAAAGTGATGCTATTATTATTATTATTTGGATGATTACATGCTTTTATTTCTACTATTTGACTATTTGTTTTTCCCCCTACGCTTCACATAACAAATCCCAGATGTAAACTGTAAAACCAAATGCTTCTGCATCACATCCACTCTGCTTTAAACTCTTTAGTCAGCTGATCCAAGGCCTGGTTGACGGAGAGCAGGAGTTTGTAAAGGAGATGAAGACGTTCATCTCTCACCAGCTGAACTGTCTGGAGTCCAGCCGCCACGTCCCCATTAGCATCCTCAACCAGAAGGAGATCATCTTCAGGAACATCAAGGACATCGTGCTTCTACATGAGCGGTAATACGAACACACGCACACGCACACACACACACACACACAAGAAATATATTATATGTCATTAATGTGATGCACGTTTGATTGTTTTGCACATAACACAGAATGAACTATGGTAATAAAAACTCCACTTTGTGTCGTCTCAGCTGCATCCTTCCTGGTCTGAGAGAATGTGCCACAGACGATGACGTCGCCATGCATCTGATCAAACACACTGAAGACTTTGAGAAGTATCTTCTCTACATGGTGGGACAAGCACAAGCGGAGGCCTGCATCACCGACAAGGCCGTGCAGCAATATTTCAAAGTAATAAATAAATCTATCTCTTAGATTAATACGTCAACACAACCTTATTGCACTGATCTATATATTTTTTTGTTGATAATGACATTTCAGGAGTTACAAGGACCTGATGCTTCTGTCATGGATGTCCTGACGTTCCTCCAGCAGCCGGTGGAGAGGATTCAGACCTACCAGGCTTTACTGAAGGTACAGTTTTGTGCACAGTCGTGGTAATGTCTGAAATAGATTCCTCAGGAATATCATGCTAATATTTAAGATAATGCTGCAGTTGCACACATTGTAGTTTAATCTTGAAAGTGTTTCCTCTAAATGCCTGACATATAAATAAGACTTTTATCTGCAGGAGTTAATCAAGAACAAAGCTAAGAGCGGCCAGAGCTGCTACCTGCTGGAGGACGCCTTCTCTACGGTGTCCTGTCTGCCTTGGAGGTCTGACAACCTGCACCAGGTGTCGCTCATCGAGAACTACCCGGCTCCTCTCACCGCTCTGGGTGAACCTGTTCGACAGGTGAGCGAAGACGACCTGCATGTTTTGGGGTTTTTTTGCTGCCGTAAAGGTAAATCTCTGCAAAAAGAGCCAAGTTACATTAAACCTTAAAAAATATATATACATATTTATTTATTTAATTTATTTCAGACATGCCACAGTCTCATAAAGGCAAAAGAGAAAATAAACCAAACAAAATCCAGAACCTACGATACTGTCTGAAAATGAGAATGATGAAGTTTAACTTCTACCCACTTCATCAAAACATATACTTACAGACATCTTTAGAAACCCCAAGAACACATTTACTGTTTCACATCATTTTATTTCATTTTATTTTTATTTCTATATTATGTCTTGACTTGTTTTATTGTTGTGCTCATTTTGAGATCATTGTTCAGAGTTTACTGAGTTTAACCCACAAACTGATAGATAGGATACAAGTTTTTTTTGTTTTTTGTTTTTTTTTAATCATTGCACAGAGTACAACAAAATTAGGCAGCTAATTATTCAAACAACATTTTAAGAAGTGCAGTAAAAAAAGTGCAAATATATAATACAAACATCTAATAGACAAAATAGTAAATGCAAGTGTACCTATGAGCATATTCTTTTAAAGATAGCTTTTGTGGTGTAAAAACACCAGTAACTAAAAATAAAAACAGTAACTGATGTTACATTTCTGAGTATTGCACATTATAGAACATGTACGAAAAAGTAATGGCTTAAAGTAGTGCAGAAATGACATACAAACTGCAGTTGTAGTTTCCATAAATAAACACAAGGTGCAAAGGTGTAAATATTTCCAGATTATGTAAATTTACCAGTTAATGAATTAAATTAAATTGAGATTAGTTGCTCATAGACATCAACAAAGGTGGTCATGGTTTATGATCCTCACCTTCTTCTCCTTTCAGGGAGTCTTCACAGTTTGGGAGGAGTCTCCAGAAATTAAAACAGCCTCTAGAGGTCATCAGAGACAAGTGTTTCTCTTCAAGGAATGCATCGTTCTGTGTAAGCTGAAAAAAGACAGCAGCATGAACCGAGACACCTTCACCTTCAAGAACAAAATGAAGGTAAGAGTTGTTCTCCTGCAGCAGGTGAAGCTGTACAAACTCCACAACCGTTGTTCTCTCATTCTTGACCCACTCATCTGCCTCATCCTCACTCCTGTAAATCTCTCCAGCTGAACGATGTGGAGATAAAGGAGACTGTGGGAGGAGAGGATAAGTCCTTTGGCTTGTGGCATGAACACCGAGGCTCCCTGAGGAGACACACTCTGCAGGGAAGCTCCACGTTGGTTAAACTGTCCTGGCTCAAAGACCTGAAGGAGCTGCAGCAGCGATCCAGTCTGCTCACCAACAGTAGGTCCTACTTCAGCGCTGCTTCCAGTTTTGGTGCACGAAGAGAAATAAATACAAGATGATGTTTGATAGTATATTATATCTCCTCCTCCTCCTCCTCCTCCTCCTCCTCCTGCTCCTTTTTTTTCCTTTCGCCTTCTCCTCCTTCTTCTCCTCCTGGTCTTCCTCCTTCTTCTTCATCTTATTCTTCTTCTCCTCCTTCTTCTGTCTTCTCCTTCTTCGTCTTCGTCCTCTTTTTTTTCTTCTCCTCCTCCTCTCTCTTTTCCTTCTCTATCTTCTCATTCTCTTTCTTCTTCTTCTTCTTATATGTCTTCTTCCTCTTCTCCTCTGCCTTCTTCTTCTTCATCTTGTTCTTGGTCTCCTCCTCCTCCTCCTCCTCTGTCTTCTCCTTCTTCTCCTTCTTCTTCCTAATCTTCTTCCTCTTCTCCTTCTCCTCCTTCTTCTTCCTAATCTTCTCCTCCTCCTCTTCCTCCTCTTCGTCCTTCTACTCCTTTTCGATAAGTGATGATTTCTCTGTTTGTCTCCATCAACAGGTCCTCCAGTGTTCGAGTCACTGTTGTCTGACTGCATGACAAAGATAGGGCAGACCATCAAACTGACCTGCAAAGTCTCTGGATCTCCAAAACCAGTCATCAGCTGGCTCAAAGGTCTGCAATATGTTGCTGCATGCATTGTGTGGTTTGGTTACAACACGTGGTCTTACAGTAAATCTGCGCTGTCGTCCTCTCAGACGGTCTCCCTCTGGAGGACGATCCCCGTCACATCATCACAGCGGACCGGTCGGGCTGCTGCAGTCTGATCCTGGACAGCCTGACCGCTGAGGACTCGGGACAGTACGCCTGCTACGCTCACAGCTCCATGGGCAGCGCTGGAACTCTGGCCAAGGTGGTGGTTCAGGGTGAGTGTCGGCTGCAGCTCAGTCCCGGCACTAATGCCAAGGTCTCTACTGGCCTAAATGCAAAAGAATCTCCCCGGTTTGTTTAGGAACATCTACAATATTGTCTAATGTTTTTTCTCTTATATTTTCAGGGTAAAATAAAAATCTACAAAACAACAACAACAAGAGTAACAATAATAACACCAGCAATAATAACAGTACTACCTTAAAAAAACAGTTTCTTGAAGAGTTTTTCAGAAGGTTCCTTGATTAACCATCTTAAATTCAAAAAGATCTTCCACAGAGGCAGCAGTGAAGAACCCCAAAAGGTTCCTCAAACCTCTTCTTCTACCTTTAAGACGTTCACACCTGACACTTTTCTTCTCCCCTCCAGCTCCACCGAGGTTTGTGAGTCGACTGGAGAGCGCTTGTCTGATAGACGGTGAGGACATCCAGTTCTTCTGCTCCACGCTCACCGCACCTCTACCACGAATCAGGTATGACGGCACCGAGCTGACGCAGAGGTTTCTGTGTGGTTGTTCGGTCGCTGTAAACGTGTGAATCTTTGGGTTTGTCAGGTGGTTGAAAGATGGAGAAGAGTTGACTGACCATCGGAAGTATTTCATCGTGAATGACTCTCGCAGTGGAATCTTGTCTCTGACGGTCGTCGGGGCAACAGAGGCAGATATCGGACAGTATGAGTGTGAGGTATAAACCCCATATCCACTAGTACTAAGATAAGGCCTAGCATTGAGTTTAGAGATCTTCCTTCCTGAATGTTCTTTTTTTTCTCAGCTTTGGAATGAATTCGGCTGCGTCAAGTGCAAGGCAGGCCTTTGTCCCGCCTTCGTCCCGCCGACTGACATCGAGATCGACCAACCACAAGACTTACCTCCGAAAGGTAGGACGACCCGAGCCTCTGAGGTAAACGTCCTCCACACAGGATGGAAACCCAGCACTGGGCTTTCATTCACACTTTCACTACTGCGTTTGAGGAGGGATAAAGCACATGCCATTGTTACTTCAGATCCCCGTTTTTTTTTATTTTTTACATCATATCATGTGACATCACTTCACCACAACAAGCGATTCGAATCAGTTTCACCTTCCAACCTCTACCATCCATCCATTCTATCAAGTCTGCACCATTTTTGAGAGTTTACTCACATTTTTCCTTTTTGTCCATTTCACACATGTCATGAGTAGCTCCACCTACTACACCAGTTGTCACTAGAATCCCAGCGATTACGGCATTTTTCCATTTGTGCAGTGCAGAAAACGCATGTTGTCTCCTATCAGTTAACTGTATTAAATGTTTGACTGCATGATGTGAAAGTTCTTTTTCATCATCTCATTTCTGATATTGTCATTTGAGTTCAATTATCATCATTAGTTCATGTAGAAATCAGCACGTGACCATAAAAGTGGACCTCATGTGTGTCTCATTTGAGTGCACGTTTTCTCAGAGTGCTGCACCGATCTGAACCACACTAACCCACATTTACACATCTCTCATCTAATCGCTGCACATAAGCCACCCGAGTTCTTTGGTTCTGAGTCAGTTTCACCGCTCATTTCATCTGTTTTGACAAATAGTAGGCAGTAGATCTTGTGTGCTTTAAACTGAGCATGTATTCAGTTATTTAGGTCACATGACAGTCATGTGATGAACACCTGAAGCCTAACAGTTCATAACTACACTCAAGAATAACTCTGAATGAACATACATCATCATTTCCAAACAATTAGACAGTTTTCTTTTGATATTTTGTATTTATGGAGCAATTTGTTGGTCCAACTTGATGTACTTGTGTTGCATAAACATTTGGGTTGAATTTAGTTTAGTTAAAAAAATTACACAAATAAATTAAGCCGATCCAACAGAATTGCTTCACGCCGAAAGAAAACTATTCATTCACGTAGAAATACTTTATCACGATTTAACTGAGTTCATCCAACTAATAACTTTGAGTGGGTTTAACATATTTGCTGTAATGAGTGGGATCTAGCGGCTGCCATCCAACATAGATACCATACTACACTTCCCAGCATCCTCTCTCATAAAAAAACCCACACTGATCACATTTATTGTACAAATTGTTTTTGTGTGTTTTTCATCATCTTTCCACTTTCCACAGAGAGAGCATGGATTCAAACCGATCATTTATTTCCATCCGATTCATGTTGTCATGCAAAAATCTGCACAAGCAGTGAGGTACCGTAAAGAAACAGCAGTAATAATGATAAATAATTTAATATAGTGATAGAAAGCACGACTGTCCTCAATTATGTAGTGATTTTCCAATTGTGGGTTAAAGTGAAAGCAGTGGAATTGAGTAGAAGTAGATGTAGAAGCTGAATAAAAACTGCTGTAAATCTGATATATGATTTACTCTATAAGGACTATGAAGTTGTCTCGATCACAGATTTATATATATATCATCTGGATTTTTGCCTCCATGTTTGCCCTTCCATTGTCCGTAACCTACATATTTTCCCATCTTCCCTCCTACTCGTCCTAAAGCAGGAGGTTCCTCACATGGACCGCTCCATGTAAGTCATCATTGTCATGATAACCAATAACCACTCGACATTCCCCCTCTCTCCTCTCGCCAACGCATGCCCAGCTAACTCTTCACTCCTTCGATCACAAGATGGTCATGTGCTGGGGAAGTGTGCCCCTGTAGGAGTGGGCACTGGTGAGGTGGGTTAGTGGGGTTAAACCCTGAAGCTGCCAGGTAAGACATACGGTAAATTATTGCTGTACCCGGAACGTGAGGTAACGTACCTTCTAAACTCTTCCACTCATCAATACCAGAGCAAGTTCATTTTAATATTTTGAAATACAAATTTTTAGTCTCTTGTCTTGAAAGTTTTGGGGTTCTGATTGATGTTTGGGTTTTACAGATGCCGACTCAGAAGGCTGGTCCACCGCCTTCGTGAAAAAGTGGCTACAGACTGACTTCAGCCCCACTTCTATTGCCAAGATGCTCTTCCCTCCCGGATACCCTGAACAGTAAGCTATGGAGAACTTCTGTTTTTATTATTTATTTGATTTATTTCAGACATGCCACAGTATCATAAATAGAAAAAACAAGACAAACAAAAACACAACAAATAAAAACAGTGAATTTTACCATATTAACTCCTACTAGCTACATGTCCGTACATCCTATACCTTACCGTTTCCTGTTTGCTTCAAACCTTACACCTATATACCTCTTCAGAAACCCTAAGAACATCTTTATGCTTCCACATTATTATATTTTCAAGCAGCCTTTGTTTTGTATGTTTTCTTACATTGTTTCATAGTTTTATATAATATTTTATGGGATATAATGTAGTTTTCTACGTGTTACTCCACATTTCTGCTCAGCATAGTGTATAAGAGGCTTTCAAAATTCATAATTTGTCTCATCCTTGTACACCGATGAGCCACAACTTTAAAAGTTCAGATTAATGGGACCTTTGGGGTTATCTTGTGGTGTTTGGGGACCAGGACTTTGGCAGTAGATCCTTTGGGTTCCTTTTGGGATCTCATGGATGCTCAAACTGGGGAGGTTGGAGGCTGGAGGCTGCTTGGCTCTTTGTCGTGTTCCTCGAGCCATTCCTGAGCAGGTTTTGCAGTATGGTGGGGTGTGTTGTACTGCTTGGGGGGACCGCTACCATTAAGGAGTGCTGTAGTTGGTCCACAACAATGTTTAGGTGGGTGGTATGTGTCTGAGTAACATGTACAAGGATGCCAGGAGCCAAAGTTTAACAGCAAAACATCGCACTTTCTTTGTATGAAAAGCACTGTACAAATAAAGTTAAATTGATTGATTGATGTTAGACCTCTTTGAAAAATATTTGAATTCTTACAATCCAGGTTGTAATATTGCAAATAAATACAAAAATTGTTTCTGTGGATCTTTTGTTTTTACTGTATAACGGTCTTTTCCTATACCTTATCTCTGTCTCCAGTGCTGAGAGCAGCGCCGAAGCAGACGTTCCTGCCTCCACGCCGACAGAACAGCCGGTCCAGCAGCCACCGTGTTACCTGGAGGAAGAAGAGGAGATCTACATCTCAGAGCCAATGCAGGAAATTACTGATGGTATTCTCGTCCTCTAAACACAACAATAAGAATATTAACAAGCATTGTGTGATGAACTACATTATCTAATTTCCTTTTTCAGCTCCTCCCTTCATCCAAGTTCCTGCTGAGGACCTGTGTGTGGAACCTGGACAGACGTCTACATTTACAGCCATCATCACTGGAAGACCAACTCCTAAGATACAGTGGTTCAAGGTATCAGATGAAAACAGTTTACTAGCAGCTACAAGCACAGTCAAGAGCCCTCATTTAACACCTAACAAAAAACTCGGCACAAAAGCTATTCATAGTACTACAATGAACTTAAAATGAGGTATTAAATTATTTGCATATTATGTCATGTTAACAAATGTACAGTGTAGTAAAAATATAGTGTAAAAATAAATAACTTTCTTATTTGAAAATCTCAATATAATTTAAAATTTAAAAAATATACATATGAGGGTGGTCTGCTGAATCCTCTCTAGGACATGGAATGCGTGTGGGGGAGTTCTCATAAATGTAATGTATTGATTGTTAATATCTCTGTAGTTTATCCTTTTCTGGGAAGAAACAAAATAGTTTTCAGCCTCTCTGTCTCCTCTGAGAATTCAGAAAACAACATAAAAAAGGAAGCTGTTTTTTTGGGTACATTTCCAGTCTTCTTTGTCACTAAATGGTTGCAAGATGACCGCAATGCAAAAAACCAAAGTCTACAGATCCACTAGGACTGGTGAAGGTTTCTATTAAGAGTTCACTCTTCCTCTGTGATTGGAGGACGGAGAGGAGCTTGCAGCCGATGAGAATGTGAAGATAGTGCAGCAAGGCGCTCGCTGCTCGGTGACCATCGTGTGTCCGGAGGGCGAAGACAGCGGCATCTACACCTGCTTCGCTCACAATGACTCCGGCCACGCTTCATGCCAGGCCCAGCTGTCGGTGGAGGAAGGTGAGACGACATCAGCGCTGCTCTACGTCATTATTCTCACTGTTTCCTGCTTTAGGTTCAGGTTGTGGTTTCTCTGTAGGTCTACTGGAGATTCAGGAGAGGGAGGTGGAGCTGGGGAAGAGAAGGAAGCTTTTCTCCGTCTATGACGTCCACGAGGAAATCGGAAGGTGAGCCCGCCTTTCGTGCTGACGTAGTCCAAGCTGCTCGTCATCTCCGCTGGAGTTTCATGAAGTCATCTTTCTGTGTTTTAGGGGGACGTTCGGGGTAGTGAAGCGCGTCATCCACAGGAGGACGGGGGAAGTCTTTGCTGCTAAGTTTCTGCCTCTTCGGAGCAGCAGTCGGACCAGAGCCTTCCAGGAGAGGGATTTGTTATCTCGTCTGGCTCACCCGAGGGTGGCCTGTCTGCTGGACTTCTTCTGCACCAGACGAACGCTGGTGCTCATCACAGAAATGTATCCTCCCTTTTACATGCTGCAGTACTGACCAGTTTATCCTCCCTATGAGTTTCACCACACACACATATTTGATCTGTGAGTTCTTTAACGCCGTTTCCAGCTGCTGTTCTCATGGACTCCTCGACCATTTATTACTGAGAGGATCAGCCTCAGAAAAAGAGGTAAAAAACTTATCTTTAAGTCTTGCAAATGTGATGTGCGTGACTCCTTGCTAATATGCTATATTTTTAATTACAGGTTCAGTCATATATCCAGCAAATACTTGAAGGAGTCGGTCACATTCACAGCATGAACATCTTGCATCTGGACATTAAAGTGAGTTTTCCGGTCCAGTTAACATCACATTACTGACTCTGACATTCATTTTCATGCTGTTCTTTTTTAAACTCTACTGTTATTCGTGCTTCCTTCAGCCCGATAACATCCTGATGGTTTATCCGCCAAGAGACGAGATCAAGATCTGCGACTTCGGCTTCTGCCAGGAAATAGACACGTCCAGACACCAGTACAGTATGTTTGGGACGCCGGAGTTTGTTGCACCTGAGATTGTTCACCAAGAGCCAGTGACCGTGGCCACAGATATTTGGTGAGTTTGAGCTGATAGGACTTGCAAATAAACCTTTGTTTCAGATTGTCTGTGTGAATGTGTTATGTACAATAGTCAGATTTAGATCAAAGCTAAAACATGTCATGCAGTAGATTGTGCACCATTTTACATTGCAAGACAATAACACTAACATGTCTTGTCCTTTCTCTCAGGGCTGTGGGTGTTATAGCCTACCTGTGGTACGTATCACAGCTCTTTTCATAGTAACCTCAACATTTTTAATACACGTTTAACCAAAAAGCTGTGCATATAAATGTTCATGTTTCATCTTTATCTCAACAGTCTGGTGTGTCGATGCCCGTTCGTGGGTGAGACTGACCGAGCCACGCTGCTCAGGGTTGGAGAAGGGACTCTGAACTGGGATGCACCTGATATCATGTACAGGAGCCCTGAAGCCAAGAACTTCCTCCACCTGCTGCTTCAGCCGGATCCAGAGTATGGAAGCACTTTTATTTTCGCTTAGATGTGTTTTTGTGCAAATGAGACAAAGTCTGTTTTTATGTATCAAATAATAAAACGAGTCTCTTTGCATCATTATTATATTTTCATATTCCTTTGGTTAGTTCTGCAATGGAGTGTCCAGCGTACACATAGATAATTGTTCCTTAATTTTCCCGTTTCTAGGAAGCGACCGTCTGCTTTTGAATGTTTGAGCCACGAGTGGTTCCAGGTGAGATGAAAAACACAACAATAAGTGTTTTACTAAAGCTTTGTTGTACTACACAGCGATGAAATTCTGACACACAGTAAAACTCACAAATCACTGTGTTCAGGATGAACATGCAGGAGAAGATACAGAAGAAATCAACACAAAGAGTTTGAGAATCTTCATCTCAAAAAGGAAATGGCAGGTGAGTTGCCTCCTGGATGTCACAATCAAGTTTTGTTTGCCTCTAAACAACTTCAAATCATTTAATGTTTAGTGTCTGTTGATGCAGAGTCCTAATCTGATACCAGTTTCCTCAATAATACACACTTCAGGTCTTGTAGATTAGCTGTAGTCTGTTACTGTTTGATACTGCAGTGACCCCAGGTGGTTCTGTGTTTGCAAGAAGAGGCATTGTGGGGTTTATCTAGTTAATGGGGCACCATGACAAAGTCTTTTGTGACTTTTAATGACCTCCAGCCAGTGCACACACATTAAATCAAGCCAGGATCAACTAGGAAAGCTTTCATATGTCCCAGTGACACGTATAATAGTCACCTTTGCTGCTTGTATCATGCATTTGTGGCTTGAAACAGAATTCTCAGCTTATACTGTTTTGTAAATTAACCATTGCCCTTTTCAATCATTTGTGCAATATCAGTTTCATTATCACGTGCAATATTTTGCTTTCATGTGCAGTCTTTCATTATCATGTGTAAAAATACTTTACTATATCAGAATCACTGCTAGTTTTATGTATTGCTTTTTTGTTCTGGTCTTTTTTCGTTTACTTATTTTATTCACAATGATGTATCGTACTCATCTTAATGCTTTTCAATCAGATGCTGCATTTATTCTTCTGGTATGTAATTTCGTTCTCCTTAATTAATAGAATTCTATCTTAATCTGTCTTATCTTAGTGAATTGTTGATTGACAACTTTCCAATTACTAAGAAAACTTTTTAGATTTGTGACACCTGTGTAACAGTGGAGGGCAACAAAGGATCTGAGTTTGATTCATGAATAAAATCCAGACATCCCAAGTTTCTTGTAAGGTTAAAAATCTGAGAGCTCGATATAACAACATTTTAATTTACTGTAGATCATCTACTTGCCTTAAGAGAATGTTGTGCTGAAATCTGACCTCATTAGTATCTTTCCCATCTTCCTTTGCAGCGTTCTTTGACCTGCATCGGTTCAGTGCTCACGCTGAGGCCCATTCCTGAGCTTCTTGATGCTCCTCTCAGAGACACTGCAGTGACGGTGCCTCGAGAACACCAAGAACACAGCAGCACCTCCCTGAGCAGCGGCTCCTCCTCCGAGTACGACGAGGCCGACTCCTGGGACTTCTTCCAACACTGCAGTCAGACCGAGGAGGAGGAGGAAACAGAGGAAGACTTTGACCCTTTATTGGAGAGAGCGCAGATCCCAGAGCCTTTTGTCAAACTGCACCTGGATGCAGAGGAGGATGATGAAACGACGTTAGGGGAGGAAGAAGATGTGGAGCTGGTAGGAAGGAGGAGTGTGTTAGAGCGAAGTGTGAGCAGGCAGTCAGTTGCTTCATCAGAAGTTTCGTTCCAACAGACGCCTCAGAGGGAACGTCGGTTCAGCAAAGACAGCAGTCCGTCCCTTTGTCTGTCTGACGGAGATGAAGGTTCAGGAAGCGACGGAGGTCGAATCCCTCGAGGGAGCCTCATCCGAAGCACTTTCTATAACACGTCTCATCAGCTTTCACCGATGTCCGCCAGGCACATGACTTTACGGGACAAATTCCAGGCAAAAAAGCAAGAAAGAGGTCGGAAGCCACTCAGGAGGAGCTTCTCAGGACGCCTCAACGAGCCCCTTATTGAATACGTGGAGGATGAAACAGAAACTAACCGCGGTCAGAGACGAGGGTCCGTCCAGCCCACCATGCAGAAGTCCTGCTCCTTTGACAGTGGGGTCGGCCTTGTCCACGGCAACGTACCGCCTCACAGAAGGAGTAGGTCTCTTGACGAATCACGTCGATCTCCAACCTCACCCACCCGATCAAAACCCAGAGAGGAGGAAGGTTCTCAGAGTCTGAAGGAAGACTTCACAGACGATGAAGTGGCAGGAAGAAGCATGTTGGCCATCCCATGTCCTAAAAGACCCACAAGAAGAAGAGGATCTGTTGCTCCTGTACAAGGGACTCAAACTTCAGGTGGATCATCTGTTCCCTCAAGCTTCCTTGCCGGAAACCGCATGTGCTCCAGGTTGGATCAGGAGCAGAAAGGTGAGACCTTTGGGGGCTCACAAGGATCTCTGGCTGAGTCGTACACTTTGGAACATGGTGGCTCCGAGTCTTCAAGCAGACTCGGCTCCTATGAGGAGCTGAGTCATGGTCATCTCAGAGGGAAGTACAGATCAGGAGAGAGTGACGGTTATGATGATCAGAACGAGCCTCTCATTTCCCCATCGCCCTGCTCGTTCCAGGAAGTCAAACCCAGGAGCTCGTTTCCTCAGGCACCGCCTCGTAATCGCACGCGCTCCAATCCCAACTTATCCACTAACAGCAGAGGTCAGCCGGGGATGCCGCTAACGCCGAGTCCCAGCCCCAGCCTCTCTTCTCTGCAGTCTCCAGAGAGGCCTCCCAGAGCCAGGGACAAGAAAGAGGGCTGTGGCCTCCAGAGACATGCATCGGCTCCGGCTCTCGAAGCACGACCACCGACAGGGAAGTCGCCCAAACTAGGACTGCTGAAGATCTTCCGCAGACAGTCCTGGACCGGTCATTCCTACTCACAGCTGGAGAACGCAGAGTTAGGACCCACACTAGGAGAGATCATGAAGCCTGATACGCCCACCATGTCTCTGAGGAAGAAAATGAGAGCTTCAGCCTCCAGTCTGACCAAACTGTTTTCCAGGTCTTCCAGTAAGGAGGACGTGAGTAAAGGAGGTGAGCTATTGTAAACTATTATATATTTACATTACTGTAAACTAGACACAATGTTGAGCAGCATCCGTACTAACAAAAAAATGACATTCTGAGTTCCAATTAGCCTAAATGCATGAACAGGGTTGTAATATGAGCTGTGAACAGCAGAACTGTGCATATCTACATGTCTGCATCATGGCTCCACATGGGAAAGAATTGCCAGAGAAACTGAAAAATCTAAGTTCTGAATGATTTCACGTAAAAGTCCCTTCTGTCTGATATTTTGCTTGTTTTATATTGTCTTGTTACATATGAGCTTGACTACAGTCTTGCTTGTGGCGTTCCTCAGGGCTCTATTTTGGGCCCATTCCTCTTGTGTATGTCGCCAACTGGGTCCATATTTAAGAAAAACATTGCATTGTTTTGCTGACAATATACGAATCTATCTGCCAAAACTAAACAAGTAAAGAAAGTAAAATATTGTTCACCTACAGTCTGTCTTTTTGGAGAATTCAGTCGGAGAATTCAGGGAGTGAATTAAAATAATTCTGCTTCAGTTAGGACCAGTTATTCAAATTATGCCATTTCTAAATCACTTTTTTGCTGTGTTAGTGTTTTAGAAGTATGATATTGTTTTTGTCAATTTTCAAGTTTGTTCCATTTGCTTCCTTCACACCAGGGCCGATAGTGAAAGGATCCGCTCTTGTCTCATCTGAAGAAGACCTTCGCAGTGGTCTTGAGAGCCCCAAAAAGAGAACCTCAAAACTCTTGCCGTCTTTCAAAATACCTTCGTTCAAGAAGACAAAAGGTAGCGAAGAAATAAAAAATTCTTTCAGTGTTATATTTCCAGTTTCACATCACGTTTAATGCCATATCAGTGCTTTGGTGCATTTACTTTTTCCTCTAAATCCAGATCTGCTGGTCCGTCCCTGCAAGGCAGAGGTGCTGCAGTTAGACGGAGGCGGAGTTCTGCTGGTGTGGAGGCCTGTTCAGTCCAGCGACCCGGTTACTTACTGTGTGCAGTACTGTACAGACGGTGGGTTCACAGAGATGGTGTCCTGTTTGTGTTTAGCGCAACTTTATTAAGTGTTTATGTCAGAAATACCAGTTAGTTCCTGCCTATTACTGAAATACAGTTTTCATGAGGATAATAAAATTCCTTAAATTTACAGCTTTTAAAACTTAAGCAATTTAACAGGCATTTTTGTACCAATGGCCGCCACTGTTGAATTTGCTGTCGATTGTGTTTTCCCAGTTAGAAATATTAGAATATGTCTCATCAGACCTGTGCAGTACATTGTTTATGGAATGACGCTCTGCATATTTTTTCTCTGGGTCTGGATCAGGCTTTAACTTCCAATAATGGGACTCATTTGGCTTTAAAGACTAGTCTGTCAAGTTAATTTAAAAAGACCAAAGTTTGCTGGAAACACCGTGATTATTTTTATTCTTATCTTGACACAGAATTTTTTGAGAGCAAAAACTGCATTAATCTACGTGTCTCTGTATTGTATAGTGGCTACTCTGCAGAAAATCTTAAGTTTCTATACTTATTTTTTACTTTTTTACCTCAAAAATCATTTTGTTTTCACAATTTCAGTTGCATAAAAAATGCATTTATGAAATTGTGGTGCTGCTGTTGTCTAATGCCGACATTATTTAGACAAAGGCTTGCATCTCAGAGGTTTTGTCACATGCATCTGTACAAAAATAAAGAACAAAAATAGCTCCATGGGTCATGAACAGAGGACGTCTGTACATCATATGTATCTCGTGGTTAAACAATGCACCAGGTGTGAGAGGTTATTAGGAGATGAGGTGGGATGATGTGGGAGAAGAGCGAGGATGTATGTGCATGCAAAACATTTGTTGGACAAGGACATTAAAATATCCAGTGAAAGTGTGTTTCATGTGTCTCCTCAGGTGGGGAGTGGACAGTCCTATCTGAGGAGGTGACGGAGAGCTGCTATGTGGTGAAGGATTTACCCAGAGGAGCTTCGTATGTGTTTAGAGTCGGCTGCATCACTAAGAAAGGAGCTGGACCCTTCAGTGACGCTTCAGCTCCTGTTGTTATGGCGACCCATCCCGAAGGTAAAAACAACACTGAAGCATGTTCGTGTCATCATATCAATTTATATTTCACCTTGTTGCAGGAATTTGCCATCCTGGTTTGGTGCTTTTCACATATAGATTAGCTTAATTAGCTTACAGACAGCTGCTACATGGAGGATAACAACATTTCTGTTTGTATTTGCTGTTATTTGTTTCAGAGATTCACATTCCTCTCATTCAGACTGAGTCTCTGGGGTCAAAGGTGACCAGATCAGCAACACACAAGAACTTCAGCTTCCTGTCTGAAATCAACAGGTAAGATGTTCATTGAGAATCTGCAGTTTAGTTGCTGAACAAAAGTATCTACAGATAGTTTATTTTTCATAATAATCGAACAAGAGTGCAAAGTACTGTTGGTATTATCGTCGCACATATTATTCTTCCTTTAGGTTTCAGGTTTTTGTAAATTTCACACATCTTTCTGCCTTAAACTTGATCTTTTGTGTTGATATTGAATTTTTTTTTTTTTGAGATTTCCCTCCTTGATATGAAATAATTTGCATGTTTGACAGAATGAAGCTTATTTGTGGAGTTCCTCAGGGCTCCATTTTGGGCCCAGTCCTCTTCTTGTATTTATATGCTGCCATTGGGGTTCAAATTTAAGAAACATCAGATTCTTTTTTTTATTGTTGTTGTTGTTTTGCAGACGATTTTCAAATCTATCTGCCACTATAATAAAGTAAATTCAAGTAGAGCTCGACACCTTCACCACATCTGTTATTTTTTATCTTCAAGTCTCATTATTTTGCTGTTTTTTATTCACATTTGTTACTAAGTCATTGTGTTTTATTGTGTTTTATGGCCTGCTGTTTTAATTCTGCAGCACTTAGTTGAACTCCTCTTGCTTTTAAATATGATTTCTGAATAAATTTGGCCCTCTAATTGCTAGTTTAGTTTGATAAAGTTCTTTAACACACAAACCACCTCTGTAGCATGTAGACCATGGTCCATCCATTTCCTTACCTGCCTATTCATGGTCACAGTGGACCAGAACCAGCCTCAGTATGCTTTAGGACTATCTAGCCTTGTGCTGCCCATGCTCTCTCACTCATTTCCTGTTTTTCATATCTACAGGGGTCGTTTTAGCGTAGTAACTGTGTGTCGGGATGTTGAGACCAGCCAGGTGTTTGCTGCTAAGATCACACCTTACCAGGCAGAGCAGAGGCAGCTGGTGCTGCGAGAATATCAGCTGCTGAAGAGGCTTCATCACCCTCATCTGGTTCAGCTGCACACTGCCCTCATCACCCCCTGCTACATGGTCTTAGTGGAGGAGCTGTGTCCCGGCAAGGAACTGCTCTACAGCCTGGCTGCCAGGTAAAGGAAGCTTCCTTCACCCAAGGACTAGTTCTTCTACTACTATAAACAGGACCTTTTGGATGACCCACTTGGCCCTTTGGCTTTTTATGATCGATCTGTTGTAAACCTTGCTTTTATCTTGTTCCCTGTGACCAGTTACGGTATCAGGATTTTATTGATCGTGGTTTGCAGGTTGAGAGCAGGTCAAAATTTCCACTTGTACACAAATGTTTAATTGAGGGACGCCTTATTTTGTCATGAGGAATCTGTCGACAACTGACAGAACTAAATAATTCAAAAATAAAAAGCTGACTTTGACAGAAGCGCCTTGGTTCAGGTGAATGTTGTTGGACTACAGCATCTCTTATGGCGTTTTCAGAAATCTAGGCACTTCGTGAATTCAATGTAAATATTTCTTACTACAGTATCGACTACAAGATGTTGCGTAGCTGTATCAAAAAAAAAAAAACATGCAGTGGATTCAGCTTCACAAACATGCCTGTGTTCCCTCAGAGATCTGTACGCAGAGGCCCACATCGCCGAGCTGCTGGTTCAGATTCTGGGTGCGGTCGACTACCTGCACAGCCGCCGGGTCATTCACCTGGACCTGAAGTCCGACAACATGCTGGTGGACGACAACAACCACGTCAAGATCATGGACTTCGGCTCGGCTCAGTCCTTCACACCGGGACAGCCTCTCAACATCGAGCACATCCATGGCCTGTCAGACAGCAGAGGTGACACATTTCTCATTTAAATTCAAAAAGAAAACTAAGATTTTTAAGGCTTGCATCGTTGTAGATTCGTCTAATGCACTAAACCTCTGACCTTTGTCGGCCTTCCAACAGACCGCCCCGGCAAAGGTACACATTCTTTAAAGGAGGACGGAGTGATGGAGGGAAATAACTCAGCCTAACTTCATCCGCCTCAGCTGATCCTAGCTACCATAACCTAACACACACCAAGTCCAGTTTATTATCACTTATTTAATCACTTTCTTTCTGATTCGAGCCATTTTCCTAACGCAAAAAAATGAAGCACGTGAGGGAAAATGGCGTCGCCTCTAAAAGCACGACTCTTTACGACCAATGTTCTGTGTGTGTCTGTTTTGTCAGTTTATATTGTGCTTCCTAAAGCTCCGGAAATCCTGGAAGGCCAAGGAGTCGGACCTGAGACGGACGTTTGGGCTGTCGGGGTTCTGTCGTTCATCATGTAAGTACAGAAGGTCATTTTCATTTAAAAAAGTGGTTTGTGTTTGTTGCTGCTCGAAAACAAAACCAATTAAAGCCGCAAGCGGCGATGGACGGGTC